CTCCAGAGTGCTGCTGCCGAATCCTGAAGACTACTGCCTCCTGCCTACCCGTGAAGTGCATGGGAAGTCCCTATGTACTCTCGGCCTGCCTCCTGACTGCCTCCGACTGCCTGCAGTTGCAGGGCGGGCAGTCCAGGAGGCTGCTCTTGCCAATGCCGAACTGAGCCAGGGGCTGGCGCTGCAGCTGTCGTGGGAACAGGCCAAAAATAGCCTGTTCCTAAAACCCTGGTTCGGTGCCTGAGTTTCAGGGCAGGCCGGTCTGATGACAGACCGGAAATGGCCCTTCGTTTCAGGCTAAAAAGGCTACTGCCACTTTTAGTCTGAAACGACACAGGGTCTGTAGGCCCCTGTTTTTCAGGCTTTCGAGCTGAATGGTCACGGGGCCTGTGATTTTCAGGCTTTCAGCCTGCGGGACGCAGGGCCTGGAAAATGGCTCTCGTGTGCAGGCGCAGCATGTAACACACACACACCACACCACGGACTCAACAATCCACGCACACGCCGCTCGGACAACACACAGCCCACCATGGCTACTTAACTCGGTCACACACAGCGGGCCAACTTCCCATGGGTTCCACGGGCGCCTCGAAGTGATTACTGACAACGTGTGTTTAGGGCGTCGAGCCCTGCCGTGCACGGACGGCTTCAAACCGGCACCCTCCTGCACAGGAACGGAGTATCGTAACCACTACAACCCTTGGAGGTGTTATAAAACTGGATCCTGGTCATTTCCAAAGTGCAAATTCACAAGGAAAGACAATGCCACCCAATTGCGAAAGAAATGAAAGCACTTGCAAAGAGATAGAGACCAAAGAAGAGAGACAGAAGAAGAAGAAGAAGAAGAAGAAGAAGAAGAAGAAGAAGAAGAAGATGTACACCAGCAAGACCAATGACAAATCCCCCGTCTCTCTCCACCTTCCTCGTCCTCCTTGACTTTGCCAATCTTATTCTTCTTAATAACAATGAGTGGATGAACCAGAATCAATATCCGAAGTTCCCTCGTACTGCTAGCAGAACAACAGGTCCACCATAGCCATGGCTTCCCTCCTTCTTCCTCCTCTCACATGCCAAGGCTATGGCAGACTACTAAGGGCTGCCATCTTGTGCAAGGGACAACACAAAGCAGCTATGTCGCTGCTCATCAGGCCGCCATGCCTGACTCTGCGTCGAGCTTCCTTGGTGCGACACTGCCCCAACTGGGGCCTTCCAGATGCAGCGCCTATCAAGGTGATGAAGATGGTGTCCACATAGCCAGGTAGTTACCTCACCACTCTCCTCCTTCCCCCCTTCTTCCTCCTCCTCAGGCTGGGCTGCTCGCCATAGTCAGGCTGAGCGCCCAGCTGCTCTCCTTCCTCCAGGCAGCGCTCCAAGTCCAGCGCTTGGCTCCAGCAGTATGTTGCCAATCCTTGCACACCGCAAATGAGGAGGAGCTACTTGCTCCTCCAGAAGATATAGCGGCCTACTTGCCTCTTGGGCGGTGACTTCCTAGGCTGCACGGCCTTCCAGCAACTGGTACCTCCTCCCTTTCGGAGGGAAACATCATTGCAGGCTCTGATATCGTCCGTACAGGCCCTAGACTCAGGCTAAAATTGCAACTTTTTGTCTTTTCTGCTCGGCCTTGAGTACCCGACGTTTCTACCACAACTTGAGTGGTACCGGCTTACCTGCTACTTGAGTGTTTTTCCCGCTGCTCTAAGTGTCGCGGGCCTACCCCCGCTGCTTGAGTGTTTTTCCCGCTGCAACCCTCAGAGTCACGGCCACTGGTAAGCACCGGGCCTGCGGGGCCTCCAAACCAACAAGTACCCTTGCGGGTCACACACACACTCAGGCCGACAAGCACTCAGACAGGCACGCAGACCAGCAGGCACACACACACACAAACTTAGAAATCACAGCAGAATGCGGGAATCTCACCGAGGCATACATTCCACTGCCAAATCCCAGAGATCAGCAGTGTTCTCAGTCTGTGGTTTGGCGGGTCATTACACATGTCATCCTCGCGCAGGGGCCATCCTAATCTTCTCTGTATCATTCCAATTTGAACCGATGTCCCAGAAGGACATCAGTTCCCCTTTCACATTGGTCTGGTTTGTGTTTCCTTGCCCACTTCGTTTTCCTTCCCCTCTTACTACCATGGTTTATAGATTTTTTCGTTTCTGACTCCCCTGTTTAAAGATATGTAGGGGGACATGTTAGGAAGCCTCATAGGATCTGCCTCAAGGGGGGCTCAGCAGAGCTGCCTTTTTTGTCATCATTTTTGAGAAGAGAAAAAAAAAAGCAGGGCCTTCTTTAAGCCAGTCCATGCCTTCTAGGATGATTAGACTACCTGGAAGTCTGTGTGCACAGCTGATAGTCAATCCTTTTTTTTTCTTTTTTCTTTTTTTTTAACAAGAAAACGGCTCCTGAAACGGATTCCACCCTTGCAGTAGCGGGTGCAGATCCCAGGGCTCGATCCCTAGCCCTTACCCTACCTGTGTACAGTATCTGTGTCGACCCCAGGAGTTGAACCCACGACCTGTGTCTTTCCCCACAGTTGGTAGGTTGTCGTAGGTCTGTAGGTTATAGGGGTTCGATCTGTAGACCTGTCGGATAGGAGGCTCAGTGAGTTCTAGAAGTCGTAGCTGTAGCTCCTCCGAAGGGTCAAGGTCGTAGCTGCTACAGTCCTGAAGGGTCAAGGTCGTAGCTGCTACAGTCCTGAAGGGTCAAGGTCGTAGCTGCTACAGTACCGAAAGGCCAAGTCCACGGTCTTCTGGAAGGTCCAGAAGTGGCCTTTCGGGTACTGCCCACAGTAGACCGAGGCAAGTGGGCAAGTGGCGAAGTYCACCGGCGCTGAGTCAGYGGTRCCCAGTCGTCTCAGTCCAGTCAAGCAAGTACCATGTGGGACTGTGTGCACCAGGGGCATGGGAAAGGGGCAGACCAACGAGCTACAGAAGTATAGATCAAGAGGCAGCACCCAGCCATTCATTCATTCTTGCGTAAGCCATGCGGAAGCGCTGCCACAGCGACTTGTGCGAGGTGGTCTGCAGTACGCCCGAAGACGAAGTGGGCCGAAGGAGAGCTTAGCCATAGCGGTAGAGGTAGTAGCGCCCATAGCCGCCATAGCTGGGAGATGAGTGCAGCGTGTGTGTGCGTGTGTGTACAGTGAGTTGCGTGTGGGATATCCAGGGTGATCCTGTGTGTGAACAGCAGAGTTGGGTGAGTGACGAACAGAGAGTTGGACAGGCGCTGATGCGCCATAGCCATCTGAAGTGAGCTTGTATCTGAACTGTGTTCTTGGTTACCATATCTCTACGTTCTGAGTAGGCGCTTGTCGCCAGTTTGCTGCGCTACCTGTTTACATGCATGTGAGGTGTGAAAGAAAGCGAGTCTGATTGCATTGGTATCGGAGCTGCTACCAGCTATCCCATGCGCCATCGCCGTTGCCGCAGGTCAGAGACGCGCGCCAGGTAGGGCGCCATAGCTGAAGTGTGCCGCCGCTGAAGACGAAGTCCGCCATAGCTGCACTGCGGAGGAGATCATCGCCGTGCGTACCTGCAAGAAGACAACGATGAGAGAGAGAGAGAGAGAGAGAGAGAGAGAGAGAGAGAGAGAGA